TAGTTGAAATCATGAATCAATTGAAGCTAGACCACCATGGAAAACCACGAAGCATTGAACAGCCGTTTCGTCCTAATGTGGGACTCCTCAGTGGCAGTGAACATCCACAATCCCTCTTCGCGAGATTCGAGCTCAGGACCTGACAGTCTCGCGCATGAACGCTTAACCTCTGGACCACTGATGCAGCTGGCATCCGATGGTGTTAATGTCTAACTTCAACCAATCCATGAAGTTGAGCAACCATTTCACTAGAAAACAATGGGTATTACACATTTTAAAGTGGCAATATAAGCATGGCATTTGAAGAGGGAGAGCAGACTCTCACTACTCTCGGCCGTACCAGATCATTTTGGGGCTTTTTTATATGGTTGAAGTTATTGCAATCCACATTGAAAAATTTAATCTTTGAACTTGAAAAGTTTATTCAACTCCTTTATTTATCTTGCCTCATCAATATAGAAGTGGGTTATAAATGAACTGTTAATTCATCTCATTATTCTGAAAATTATTTTTTTTTACTTTCTAATTCCTCACATGATTTCGTCTATTGATTCTTACCTAACTACTAGAAAACTAATTTCATATCAAAAATACTTTTTTTTCCAAATCTCATATTGTCAGAAGGTGGTTTTGTAGAGATTTCAGTAATTTTATAGTTGAAATAATGAGTCAATTAAAGCTAGATTACCATGGAAAACCTGGAAGCACTGAACAGTCGTTTTGTCCTATTATGGAACTTCTCAGCAGCTGAGCATCCACGATCTCACCTCTCGAGATTCGAACCCAGGACCTATCAGTCTCGCGTTTGAGCTCTCAACCACTGCTGAGGAGTCTCACGATAAGACGAAACGGCTGCCCAGTGCTTCAAGGTTTTCCATGGTTGTCTAGCTTCAATTGACTCATTATTTCAACTATAAAATCTCATATTGAAAATTATGTAATCCAATAATCACTTAATAATATGAATTCAATTCTAACAAATAACTACTTTGCTTATAATGATTACCATATTTATCATCTTCTAATCACTTAGTTAATTATTTAACATCATTATTACATAATCCCTTGTGAAATTGCAATATTGTTACGCAATCATATAGATTACGTCATAGTGATAAACTAACCGGGAAAAAATGTCTCCCCTTCCCCTTGTTTGAAAAAAAGTACCTGATATTTACACTATTGTAGTTATAATGTTAACTTTAGTTAATTAATCAACATTCAGCCTAGGACAAATGTGTATTAGCTTAACTTGCCATATCAAAATAGAGTAATAAAATGAAACTAAAGAGATGAGTAGCCAGTATGTCAAAATTTTGTAACGGAAATGATGATGTAATTGATTACGTCTTGAGAATATGTTTTAAGAAGATAATGAAAAGGTATATACTAAAGAATACTAGCACTCAAGATTTAAGGAAATATATGGAAGAAATGTTTAACGGCAAATCATGTCACCAAATGTCTCTATCTGCAAGCAAGAGGTATTGCGCTAACTAGAATAAGGTAGACTGCATTTACCAACATGACTCAGATACATACTCAATGACTTTATGTACTAGCGACAAGTTTTTGATAACCTTCCCAAAGTTGAATTCCAATATTAAACACCATTCATAGAGGAACGCCGACTTTGAGTATACGCAAAACATATCCAAATTAACTCAGCTGATAAAAAATCAATACTTTATCATCCGAATGACTTGACAAAAGTGAAACAAGATTTTTGAACTCAAAGTGAGATTTCGTCTGAAAACAAACTCACCTTGGTCCATTAAAACATCTTCAACTACATAATGAACAATCAATTTTTGTAGACTGGCAAAACGTTTACACTAGATAAACAGACATACCATCAGTTCATGGAGTCATCAACTGTCGATTAAAACTAGGTCCATAGACATGGTTCGAAATCAATTCACACTGATCTACATCTATTCATTCTGACTCGACATCTTCATTTCTATTTGATAGAGTGACTAGGTAAAATTACATTTCTACTGCATCAAGATTCAAATGAAATTCATGATTGAACAGTTTACTTAACAACACAAAATGTAAACAGTCAATTCGTACAACCGACAACATTCACATCGATTCACCTTCATCAGCATAACTTCTTCACATTACACAACGAACAAACACTTTTCTTCTGTCAACTTCAATTCAAGTATAGAATGATGAGAGTCGAGGTCAGGTCATAAAATGTGAATATACATGAATGAGTGTGACTAGTTTACCCGTAAATACAAAACACTTTTTTCAAACATTTGCATCATTATAAATTATTCATCACAGTAAGGCATAAAAGTAAATTGAATGTTCAAAGGAATTTACTCACATTCTTGTCAGTGAACGACACTTCAGAATTATTCTGATTTAGACAAATGCAATAACTCAACAGACTCACACTATCAAGCATACTAACCAGTAACTATTACATATGAACTGAAAGTCACCATCTATCATTTCACATAAGAAACGTAAGTCAGTTTATCAAGTAGTGAGTATACACGACTTCAAGTGGTCAAGACAATCAACACTCGTCCACATGACAATTCACCACCACCTTTCTACACACACAATCATTGATTTTGTGAAATGACGTTTCAAAAGATGTTTACAATAACTCAATTAAATGATATCAAATCATGGTAGTGAAGTGGATACTATCTTTGAAATGATACAACCCATTGTTTATTACAGTGATATATACACTGACAAGGTTTTAGAGCATGAACATTGTCAGTCAGTTACAACGTAGAACTTCGTACGTACGTACATCAGTTCGAGTTGCCATACCACATTAGCACAGAGATCAAGTTGTCGATTCAGAACCCATAGTGGTAGAAGTAGTAAGAGTATAAGTACTATGTGAAAGATAAGGGTTTGAAGATGTTATTGAAGGAGTATAATACAGTGGAATAAATTTGGAAAGAGAAAATTTATTTCACTGTATTATACTCCTTCAATAACATTGTGTAGCTCTTAATGATCTCGGTCTTTTCTTCTCTGACATTTTCGATTGTTACAAGGGGTTTTTGTGGAGATTTATTAATTTTTATAGTTAATATCATGGGTCAATTGAAGCTAGACCACCGTGGAAAACGTCAAAGCACTGGACGGCCGTTTCGTCCTATTATGGGACTCCTCAGTAGTGCGCATCCATGATCCCGCTCTCGCGAGATTCGAACCCAGGACCTACCAGTCTCGCGCTAGAGCCCTTAACTGATAGACCACTGAGCTGGCATCCAACGGTATTAATGTCTAACCTCAACCAATCCACGAAATTGCGCAACCAACTTCCAATGTACTGAGGTAGATACCTGTTTCTACCTGACATGGATTAGCTCCACTGGTCACGACTTCTCACTAGAACTCCAGGAATTACCTCAAGGAGCCAGTCACTAGTGAGCATATGATCATTATCACAAGGGGGTTTTTGTGGAGATTTAGTAATTTTTGATCTCGGTCTTTTCTTCTTTGACATTTTCGATTGTTTTTATAACTGGTGACCACTTCAATCAGTTCGCTTTTGTTTTGTATCATGAATTGAATATCATATCTACTTAGTAGGTCACATTAGATAGAAAATTCGATCGAAAAACACATGATATCTCGAAAGTCTATTTCAAATAAAGTGAGACCAAATCAATCAGTCTATATGCTACAAACTTTTAAGTGAAGAATGAGATACCATAAGCAATCATCAAACCATTCATCATCCCTGAATTTGTACAGTGGTCTTGAAAATCATCTGTAATGTAACTCATTCATCAAGTACATTTCCGTGTTCACCTTTCATCAAATGGATTATATAGAAAAAGAAAATTTTGTATACTCATTTCATATTAAGTAATGAAGGCATAAACCCAATACAATAACTGAGCACCATAGGTATGTCCTAACAAATTCATGTTTAGTATACATTATAATAATGGGTCGGTTGAAGAATCCCGTTAGTTATCCATATCTAGGAGAATCTAGCTCTTATATTAACAGTTTGTTTGATCATCTTCAAAGCACTTATTAATTTACTGAATGAGGTTTTCACACACGCACACACTACCTGGTAATCCTCCCTCTCAAAATGCTCTCACATGACCACGCATACACAGCCATTGACAGGGAAGTCCTACTCACTAACTTCTCTCAAAAGAGGTGTGGTTTACGAAATTGAGAGGACGAAAAGTGAATGTCCAACGCTTTAATCGGGTTGATGGATACAGACGATTCACCTATTGGAGTTGAAAAGCCCTGATTACAAACCAATATTGTACATGGGCTCCAGTATCCTGAGTGAACAAACAGTGTATGAACCTATTGTTGGTCACCGACTAACATGGGACTGCATCTCTTTACGTTGTTCGACTGCCTTATGGATAAGATCTTTAGGTCGAAGGCTCGGAGAGTGGCTCCTTAAAAAAATTACCTGCTCCGGTCTGGGCACCCGGTCAGTATCACAGCCCACATACAAATCAGGTGACTTATGTGGTGCATATGTATTCGGTGCTCCTTTGTACCAATATTTCTGTGTTCCAATAAATAAATAAATAAGTCACTAGTTCTAATGATCCATAGGTCTAGTCAACATTAACTATCTAACAGACAAACCTGATTAAATGGTGGTTGAAGGTGGTCAACAGGAAACCCTAGACCCGGGTTTCGTGCTACTTGACACTCGTCAGCAAGGTGTACCTGTAATCTTGAGGCAACTAGTGTTCCTTGACGGATTCGATCCCGTGTCACTCAGCTTCACAGCCAGAGAAGTTACCATTGAGCTATTCGGGCTGTGACCAACCTCCTGTAGGACTAAGATGTAATCACCAATGATTGATCACTGGGTGGTGATCAATGTCATGCGTATCAAGTCCGTCTTAGTGCTGATCGAATGCTATCGACAAACTTGATTAATAACGCGTATATAGACAAGTAAAAGCTTTCCAGAGCTAATTATACATGTAAATTTATTTGAAGCAAAGGATAATTCTTGAACTTACCCGGTGCATATTTTACTCCCCACCAAATCGATGGTGGCATAGTTGCATGATGAAATACATGTAAAAATGTAACTTGATCAATTTTACCTCTCCATAAAAAGAAAACAGTATCTAACAATTCTATAAGTTTAGAAAAATAAAAAAAATATCCAATCCATACTAATATATCACTATTAGAATCATTAGGATCTGGTAGCTCTACACAACCTAATCCATAACCTAAATTATAAGCAGCCCACATAGTACTAAATGAAATAATAGCAGAATAGATAACCATTATCCCATTATATAATATCATAAGTTGTTTTATAAGATTATTCGATAATGATTTAGCATTCTTCATGATAGAATTAAACTCTTCTTTGTTCTTCAATTGTTTTTCATATCTTTTTAAACATTCAACTTTCCAAGCATATACTCCAATAACATAAGTTAATGTAATTAAAGCTGTAGGTGTCCATGAAGACATTAAAGGAAATGTATCTAATCTAGGATCTGGTTTTAGTGGTAACAATCTTTTGGATAACCAATTGAAGATATTCATCTTATACAATGTTGACTATAACTAGTTACATTATGAACATGTGTTAAATATATTCATTTTTTTGTAGAAATCTAATTGGATAATTATTTCTAATATTTGATTGGTCAATTTTGTTTGACTCATAAATTATTAACCAATCAGATTCATTTGTATGTTATCTATGTCTAATTAGCAACTAAATCGATAATAGACAGTAAAGGAGTGTAAGAGTGCTGTATCTTGGTGGCTAACAATGTTGGTAGGCGGCCTATACTCCTCTATGAGGAGTAATAGGCGTAAGTAATTAGGTAAGTGATGCTATATCTTTTAAATTTTAATCGACATGCCAATCTAATGTAAAACACATGCTTTCACATATTTTATAGTAATTATTATTATTATTATTATTATTATTATTATTATTATTATTATATTCAACTCTAGTGTTAATTATCACAAGGAGGTTTTGTGGAGATTTCAGTAATTTTAACTAGTTAAGATCATGAGTCAACTGAAGCTAGACCACCAAGGAAAACCTGGAATCACTGGACGGCCGTTTCGTCCTACTGTGGAACTCCTCAGTAGCGCGTATCAACAATCCCGCCTCACGGGATTCGAACCCAGAACCTACCAGTCTCGCGCCAGAGCACTTAACCGACAGACTATTGAGCTGGCCGGTATCCAGTGGTGTTAATGTCCAATCTCAACCAATCCACGAAATTCCTCGACCAACTCTGGCAAGAGGTAGTAGATAGTCGGTTGAAAACGGGAATAAATCAAAAAGTGGTATTATGTCGTAGACGGCTAAACAACCCAGCCGAAGAGAATAAACTAAACTACAAAAAAAGCTAGCAAGAATATTAACAAAAATACAAGAGAAGAGAAAAAAGCCATATTCTGGACCAAATGGATGAGCTTAACACTCTTTCGAGACATGAACAACATCAAGCATATAAGCTGCTCAAAGATATACTAACCACCATACGGAACCGGTCATATAACAGTTGCAAAACAACAATAATAAACGACGTAGTACATTTAAAACACTATCAAATTCTGTTCAACCGTTAAACATCTATCCCTCATCTAAAATCCCAGTCAACCAAGACAAAATGCTGAACCCCCACTAACCTAGAGAGGACCAAAGCACTCCATTTACCAAATCGAAAGTCATAAATCCCCAGGTCATAATGACATAACTGCAGAGATGATCAAGCTAGGTGGAATAAAGCTAAAACAATGTTACCACAACTAATAAATAATGTATGACAAAACCCAGATGAAATTGCGACCCTGTGGTTAGATGCAGGCGTCATCAGCATCTATAAGAACAAAAGATTACATGGTGATCCCAACAATTATCTAGGTATATTCCTACTTGACACGATAAGAAAAATATTTACTGCGATGGTTTGTGAAAGACTGAAACAATTAACCGAACTAAATCTTCAACCAACACAACTTAGGTTTCGAAGACATCTATCAACTATACATGTGATCACAATAATAAGACACATTATACAGTGTGCCTTGAACACCGACCGAGAACTAATGCTGACATTCATCTATCTTACTAAAGCTTTTAACTCTCTACCAAAGGAATTGGTCCTAGACACAACGCTACTCTTCAGTCTCACCTTTCAAGAAATTCTCAGTTACACAATAGATCAAAAAACAACCGGCGTTAAACTAACTGATAAAAATAACACAACCTCGACACTGTAGCATATTGAATATTCTGATGACCTATGTCTCATCACAACAACGGTTGATGAAACAGCCAAAATCCTCAATTCTTTCTAAAATCATCTAACTAAACTTGGAATGGGAATTTCGTACAACAAAATCAAAGTCAATGGCGATCAATAAACAAAGTAACGATCTCGAAAAAAGCATTGACAACCACAAACTTGAGAAAGTAACAAAATTCAACTAACTTTGATCAATTATAAGAAACGATGGAACACTTGACGACGCATTCAAAACAAACATTGGTAAAGAAAAAACAACATTATCAGGATACGGTTGTAGAGATTGATGAGTTTTAATTGAGATCATCAACCGATCAATGAACACTTTTGAGGAGTCCCATTCTAGAATAAAACGGCTATCCAATGCTTCCAGGTTTTGAATAATGGTCTAAAATTGATCAGTTCATGATCTCAATTAAAAAAACAAAACAACATTAACTAAAATCAAACCGATACTGCTCTCAGCAAACAGCCTACGAATGAACATTAAGTTGGTGGATTCTTCGATAATCCTCATCTTAACTTACGGGCTTGAGTCCATAGTCCTAAGAAAAAAGACTGGACTAGATTAGTTTATTTATTTATTTATTTAAACACATAAATATTGGTACAAGGAAGCATCAGATACATATGCGCCACACAAATCTCATTTGATTTGTGTGAGGGCTGTGATACTGCCCAGGTGCCCAGACTGAAGCAGGTGGTTTTCTTAAGGGGCCAAACCCGGAGCCTTTGACCTGAATGTCTGATCCACAAGGCAGTGGAGCATCGTGAGGAGATGCAGTCCCATGGTAGCCGGTGACAAATAATTGGTTCATACACCGTACATCCTATCAGGATCTTGGAGCCTATATGCCGTATTGGCTTCGAATGAAGATTTTCCAACTCCCCTAGATGAATCCTCAATATCCACCAACATGGTTAAATAGTCGGACATTCGGTTTTCGTCCTCTCAATTTCGTAAACAACACCCGTGGTGCAAGAATGCAATGAGTATGACTATCCTGTCAGTGTTATATACGTGTGGTCAAGTGAGAACGTTTGGAGATAGATGGCTGAATCTCCCCACCCATGACCGTAACAGGACATTTGGCGGCAGGGACTCAAATCTATGACTTGTACCTTTTAATTTCAGTAACCTTAAAGTCAGGATATATCCCTATAAAACATAATATTGATGAAAGCCTTTAAATTGTATCAATCAGACAAGGACAAAAGTTTTTTTTTCAAATGTAAATCATCAAAGTTCCTTAAATCAAAGATCAAACATTCAAATCAACAATCTTGTAACATACTACATACTAAAATGTAATTCATATAATTTTAATGATAAACAACTTAACATTCAGGAACTAACGATTTTGAACTAGGTCATCTAAGGTTATATATGTGTGCATAAAGAGTGAGTTTAGTGCATTTATGTACAGTGCAAATGTAAATATTACAAAAATTATATCTACCCTAATGAATGTACGTAACTAACATAAACTGTAACTGATTAAATAAGTTTAGTTGTTAGAATATATATGATAAGGTCAATCATTGAATATTATAATTCTCAACTTAACTGATAACCATTTCATTATATCTCTTTTTTTGTTATATCATGTCCAGTACTGTTTGTTTCAGAGATGTGCCTTATACTTGGTTCAAATCCTATTATCCCTGAAACAGAACGTGCAAACAATGAATTTTCATAGTTGAAATCATGAGCTGATTAAAGCTAGACCACCATGGAAAACCTGGAAGCATTGGATGACCGTTTCGTCCTATTGTGGGACTCCTCAATGGCAGCGCGCATCCACGATCCCACCTCGCGTGATTCGAATCCAGGACCTACCACGTTAAGTGCTCTGGCGCGAGACTGGTAAGCCCTGGGTTCAAATCTCACGAGGTGGGATCGTGGATGTGCACTGCCATTGAGGAGTCCCACAACAGGACGAGACGGCCGTCCAGTGCTTCCAGGTTTTTTCATAGCGCTCTAGCATCAATCGACTCATGATTTCAACTGTGGAAATACTGAAATCTCCATAAAACCCCTTCTGATTATAAACAATGAATTATCCAGTTCACAGAAACACAATATTTTGTTAAACGTCCATAAAATTGCTACAGCAACCGCTCATGAAGAAACAGAGAACAAATAATCCAGCAGTACACTGAATGCAGCTGCACCGTTTGGAGCTCATCGTTCTACAACAGAAATTTTTAGAGAATCTAATTGTCCAGATTCTCATGTTTTACCAGAAAATATGTCACATGTAACAAATGATAATCAAGAACTTATTGCAGTTTTGATGGACGCTGATTATCATAGTAACTCACTATTTACTAGTGGTTTTTCCAATAAATGTGATGGTAATATTTCAGAAGAACCAAACTCTGACCTCATATCAATGTCGATCCTCACCATCCAGTCAGTTTAAGCAGATTTTCTATTGAATCCAGGAGAAATGTTATAAACAGAGTCATATTAAATGTAACTAGGGGATATGAGGATCCAACGCTTTTTCTTGGAGGAGGATAAATTCGGGAAATTTAAAGTCCGGATATCAACTCCGGATCTTTCAAAAAGGGGAGGTGTTATATCCCGTGGAGATTTATGAATGGTAACTTTGAAAACTATTTATGGACCAATATGATATGTATATTTCCTACTGTATAATTGTTAGGTAACTTAAATATTAATATTATTCAGAAAGGCTTTGTGGAGATTTCAGTATTTTCATATTTGAAATCATAAGTCAATTGAAGCAAGACAACCATAGAAAACCTGGAAGCACTGGACGGCCATTTCATCCTATTGTGGGACTCCTCAGTGTCAGTGTGCATCCACGATCCGGCCTCGTGAGATTCGAACCCAGGACCAATCAGTCTTGTACCCAGTATGTTTGAAATATAATTTTTCATATTGCAGAGGCTGTTATTGGTGTTCTGGACTTAACTGGCTAGGCTAGACGGATAGCATGACCGACAAGTGCTCTAGACTGGGTGTCATTGGTCCAATCGCTAAATTCACTGTTCTCTAATGGACAAGCACACTCGATATAACACTTTTTAATAAATTTGTAAAATTCTTATTCAACATGAAACCTAATTTGACGATAAATTTGATGTAGAACACAATGAACCTATCAGATGATATACGCCTGGTCATGTGAGAGCATTTGGAGATGGAGAGTTGACTTTCCCCACCCTCGACTGTACCAAGGCACTCGGGGACAGGGACTCGAATCTATGACTTGGACCTTCTAATTTCAGCAAGCCAAAAGTCAGGACATATCCCCATTAAAACATAAGATGAGAATAACCAATCAAAGAAACGAAAAAGGTTATAACAACTCTCCTACAATTAATTTCGATTATGGTTAAATCTTGTTAAGCACCTTTATTAACTTACTTAACAGACCATGTTATTCGAACAGTAACAATTTGACTATTCCTTTGTACTGTTATCATCATTAACTTGTCTATCTAAACGTGTAGGCTTGATCACATGACAGCCTACTCACATATCTTTCTAGCAAAAATGTTGATAGCTTAAGTATCACTCTATGATTCACTGGCTTCCACAGGTATATATGTATTCGAATCCTATTATTAACCTTCGTCTTGCCTATCTACGCGTCATTCGATTTGATTATAAATATGCCTTTGTATTAGCTCACATACACATATTCGCCTCTCTACTTCAAATTCGTTCGATATGTTTATAGCTTTGAGATCTGTGCTATCCACTAATAAACTGTAGTTAACTCTTCGTATTACCTTTTGATTCCAAACACTGTTGGAATTTATACAATAACGGATATCAAAGTGATTGATTAACGAAGCTAAGCCATTACAATGTCAATGAGGAAATATGAATAGAGAAAATGTTATCATGGTTATCATTATAGTTGAAAGCATCAGTTAATTGAAGCTAGACAACCAAGAAAAACCTGGAAGCACTGGACGGTCGTTTCGTGGTCTAGCTTCAATTGACTCATGCTTTCAACTAGGAAAATACTAAATCTCCAGAAAAAACTCCTTCTGGCTATCATTATACTAACAACTATCATTTATGATCAGAATAATATATAGTTTATGGTCCCCTATCTTAACCAATTATAAGAAGTCGGTTATCATTTTCAAACTATCTTTGAAGCTGTCATGATAAATTCTGGAAGAAAATTAGTCATGTATTTGAGTATTTGTATCCTGAACAGATTGTCTCCCTAACGTATGTATCAACAACATAGAGATATGAAATTTCTAATACGGCTACTATTCTAAGTGGTTTGACATCTCATGAATTATATTTTACTATTATACTTCGAGATACCTAGTAGTAGTAGTAGTAGTAGTAGTAGTAGTAGTAGTAGTAGTAGTAGTAGTAGTAGTAGTAGTAGTAGTAGTAGTAGTAGTAGTAGTAGTAGTAGTAGTAGTAGTAGTAGTAGTAGTAGTAGTAGTAGTAGTAGTAGTAGTAGTAGTAGTAGTAGTAGTAGTAGTAGTAGTAGTAGTAGTAGTAGTAGTAGTAGTAGTAGTAGTAGTAGTAGTAGTAGTAGTAGTAGTAGTAGTAGTAGTAGTAGTAGTAGTAGAGTAGTAGTAGTAGTAGTAGTAGTAGTAGTAGTAGTAGTAGTAGTAGTAGTAGTAGTAGTAGTAGTAGTAGTAGTAGTAGTAGTAGTAGTAGTAGTAGTAGTAGTAGTAGTAGTAGTAGTAGTAGTAGTAGTAGTAGTAGTAGTAGTAGTAGTAGTAGTAGTAGTAGTAGTAGTAGTAGTAGTAGTAGTAGTAGTAGTAGTAGTAGTAGTAGTAGTAGTAGTAGTAGTAGTAGTAGTAGTAGTAGTAGTAGTAGTAGTAGTAGTAGTAGTAGTAGTAGTAGTAGTAGTAGTAGTAGTAGTAGTAGTAGTAGTAGTAGTAGTAGTAGTAGTAGTAGTAGTAGTAGTAGTAGTAGTAGTAGTAGTAGTAGTAGTAGTAGTAGTAGTAGTAGTAGTAGTAGTAGTAGTAGTAGTAGTAGTAGTAGTAGTAGTAGTAGTAGTAGTAGTAGTAGTAGTAGTAGTAGTAGTAGTAGTAGTAGTAGTAGTTAAACACTACCTTCAATCGATCGATCAAAAATATGAACCCTCATTCACCTACTTTCGTTTGGATACATTCAAGTAATATACGATAGGCCTCGATCAAAAATGATATGGAACTAAAGATCATGCAAGTAAAACCTATATCTATCAATTGAGTTACTTTCTTAAGAAACATTGTATGGAATATAGTTATGAACTATAGTTTATTATCTATCAATCGATTATATTGACTAAAGTAGGAGAATCGTATTAATGTTCAAGCCTATAAACAATGAAAGCACATTGACTTAGAACGTCGTTTAGAATAATGTCTTCAATTTATTGATCAGTAAATGAATGATTACATAACATGCTAATAGTTTTCACATATATCGATTTTGTATATGTTCTATGTTTATGTAATCGTTGTAAAAAAAAAATCAATGATTTTTCAATTCCTCAAAGAGTATTCCAATGAACAATTAATATCTGACATTAACTTATCGGTTAAGTTAATTAATAAAATGACTTTTTGAAAGGTTGCTCAAACATCGTGGATTGGTTGAAGTTAGATATTAACACCGTTGGATGCCAGCTGCATCAGTGGTCCAGAGGTTAAGTGCTCGTGAGCGAAACTGATAGGTCCTTGGTTCGAATCTCACGAGGCGGGATCGTGGATGCACGCTACTGAGGAATCCCACAATAGGAAGAAACGGGAGTCCAGTGCCTCCAGATTTTCCATAGTGGTCTAGCTTCAATTGACTCATGATTTCAACTATGAAAATGATTTTTCCGTGGTATTCATCCATATATACATACATTACCAATAAAGTTGATTATACCTTGGATTAAGAACAGTAGTGGATTTCAAGACAAAATCATCTTCATGAAGATGACTCGAGTATGACAGAATTAGACTGTATTGACAAACAAGTGCTTACTTACTTAATTACTTACGTCTGCTACCCCTCGTGGAGGAGGAGCATAGGCCGCCCACAATTATTCTCCATGCAACCCTATTTTGAGCAATCCTTTTCAGTTAAAATCCAGCCTTTTCATATCTGCTTCTATTTCCCGACGTAATGTGTTTTTCGGCCTTCCTCTTTCCCGCTTCCCTTCAAGACTCCAAGTTAGGGCATGCCTCGTGATGTATTTTGATGATTTCTTCAATGTATGTCGCCAGACAAATACCCTCTCACTAAATAACCATAAGACAAACAAAGAAGAAGGAGATAATAGTTGGTAGGAAAAATATATGTAACTGTGCGTAGAAATGGTATAATATGAGACTGTTAAACTGGTTAGTTAAAAACAGGAAAACCATCCCACAACAGATCATAACGTCGTCTAGTCCAGATACTTAATCGGATGGTTAGCACTAATATCGAATGGTCACAATATAAACATGATCGTATAGTATTTGAATAGTAGAATTGTCCAGAAGAACCTTTTTCTTCATTGAAATACTTCTTTTAATATTAAGATACTCATTTAAGAAGAGGTTCATATATCAACAGCACCTGAGAAGTTTAATATTCAATACCAACAACTAGAAAGTAAAAGACTTTACGAAGAATATTTGTAAAAGCATCATAGATAAAGGCTAATAATGATGATAAGCAGAAGAAGAAGAAGAGAACGAAGAAGAATGTGAGATTTTTTATTATTTAAGTTAGTAGACTTCAGGACTGGACTTGATTGATCCCTACTGGAAAAATTGGCTGCTTGAACTGATACCTCATGATTGATTTTTATTGCAATTTGATTAGAATTCAACACCAGCATTACATCCTGTTTTAATTTATAGAATCCAATGAACTTGTAACACCTAGTGTTGATAAATAAATAGTAACAAAAAGGGGTTTTGCGTTGAGATTGTAGTGATTTTATAGTTGAAATCATGAGTCAATGGAAGCTAGACCACCATGGAAAATCTGAAAGCACTGGACAGCCGTTTCGTCCTATGGTGGAACTCCTCAGTGGCAGTGCGCACCCACGATCTAGAGGTTGAACGTTCCCATGTAAGACTGATAGGTCCTAGATTCGAATCTCACGAGGCGAGGTCGTGGATGCGCACTGCTGTTGAAGAGTCCCACAATAGGACGAAACGGCCATTCAGTGCTTCTAGGTTTTCCATGGTGGTATAGCTTCAATTGACTCATGATTTCAATTATAAAATAAATAATATATTTGTAAAATCACAATGAGATATAAATAAAATTTTCTGATGTTTCGTGACTCAGTGTAAGCCACTTCTTCAGGGAATAAATAACCAAATTAAAATTAATCGAAGTATAAATGGTACAAAGGAACAACACACGAATATTAGGTGCGACCAATCAAGAAACTGGTCTGAATAAATCAATATCATGTCATTTCGGTCAAGGTGATTCATAAGCGCGACATGTATGTAAATTTGTGTGTATGTATATGTGTGCATTGTTAAAGATGAAAATGGTGTGACTTTTATGGTAAGAAAGGATACAGTTCGATATGTAAGATAATAGTGTGAATTGTAAATGGTATCAGACTAGGTGACTAGGATAGATAGTCCAAGTAGCATGTATGGTAAGGCCTTCTTTATTATTGAGAGCAGTAGGATTAAGCATTAAATGGAAAGCTTCAGCTACTCTTCTTTCTTTGTAGTTGGAACAACCTTTTAGTAATAATTATCAGAAGAGGTTTTGTGGAGATTTAGTATTTTCATAGTTGAAATCATGAGTCAATTGAAGTTAGTCCATCAGTGAAAACCTCGAAGCACTGGAAGGTCGTTTCGTCCTATTATGGAACTCCTCAATGGCAGTGCGCATCCACTATCTCGCCTCGCGAGATTCGAACCCACGACCTACCAGTCTCGCATCAGAGCATTTATCTGATAGATCACTGAGCCGGTTGGCATCCAATGGTGTTAATGTCTAACTTCAACCAATCCACGATTTTGATCAACCGTTCACCATTGTCTTCAATGAGTTGATATCTCACAACAGACGTAATTTGAACTCCACTGGTCACTGCTTCTCACCAGAACTCCAGGATTTACCTCTCGAAGTCAGTCACTAGTAAGCATACTTTTGAAATGATTGTTGAAAATGGCGTGAACTGCTATCGCCGATTTAATTTGAAGTCAATCCAGTTCTACAGGATTATTAGGAGGTTTCTTTGTGTACTTAATATGTTTTTTAACACGAGTCAAGATGACTCTCCAATGAAGAAGGCATCACAATCGACACAATGTAATATGTAGACGTAGTTCTGTGTAGACATGAATGGGATTTTTTCATTTGATCGAACTAAAGTATTTCGAAGTGTGTTCGTTGTTTTGTAATATACTTTAATTCTGTATTGTTTTAAGATTCTTTGGAGTTCTTTAATTGTTCCATGACAGTATGGTAAAACTGCACTACCAATCCATGGTATTTCATTCGAATTATTATTATTACGTACTGAACTATCTTGTTTTAATCTACTTCTAATAATCTTCATAGGAAAATTAATAAATTGTAAGATTCTAGAGTAGAGATCATCAGCTGATTGAAGCTAGACCACCATGAAAATCTTGGAAGCACTGGACAGCCGTTTCGTCCTATTGTGGAACTCATCAGTGGCAGTGCGCATCCACGATGCCACGATTGCGGGATAGTGGTCTAGCTTCAATCGACTCATGATTTCAAATATTCATCAAAAAGTAATTTGGATCCTTTCTTTTCTTTATTCAACCTGTTTTCTTTCATATGAATCGTTATTTTGACTGAAATCAATGAGTTATGTTTAGCATTACAATTATGTCCTTAATGATTCTCATTTATCCAATTTAGAAACAATTTTTCAACCTTCAATTTGCACTTATTTTCTTACTTTACATAAAAACAATAACACCATCGAATATCATTCATACATAACTCATTCTTGCACATACACACACACACACACAATTCATTCAGTCTTCGTTTATTTCACATCGTTGAACTTTCCACTTGATTCTTATTTCACTTACTCATATTATCCTGTTAACAAGAATGTAACATCCAATTATGACTGATTTAAAGTAGTATAGATTTTCAAAATTGATTGATCACTGGATGGTGATCAATGTCATGCGTGTTAAGTCCTTCTTAGTGCTGATCGAATGCTATTGATGAAGTTGCAATTTGGCCACTAGTCTAGGTGGCTCGGCACTGCGTGCACTATGTTGAGATAAGATGATGGTTGGAGGTGGTCAACTGGAAACCCTGTACCTGGGCTTCGTGCTACTTGGCACTCGTCAGCAAGGTGTGCCTGTAATCTTGTGCATAACATTCGATCAGCACTAAGACGGACTTGATACGCATGACATTTATCACCACCCAGTGATCAATCAATGGTGATTACATCTTAGTCCTACAGGAGGTTGGTCACAGCCCGAATAGCTCAGTGGTAACTTCTCTGGCTGTGAAGCTGAGTGACACGGGATCGAATCCGTCAGGGAACACTAGTTGCCTCAAGATTACAGGTACACCTTGCTGACGAGTGTCAAGTAGCACGAAACCCGCGTATAGGGTTTCCTGTTGACCACCTTCAACCACCATTTAATCAGGTTTGTTAAAACTCATTCAGTAAGGCTACTAATAGTGTTACAATAAAGTCATGATTCATAATAATCTCTAGAAAACATCCTTCTGCATTCCGAAATGTTTTGTGGTGGTCGTTATTCGATATTATCCTTAAACTTTGTAAATTGTTCGTCCTGATAACCGTTACTAGATAACGCCCCAACGGTGTAAAAAATCAGAAGGCGAATACGAAGTGTTGATTACGTTTTTTTATTGCACCAGGCACAGATTGTCAAAATTACAAACACGTTAAGCAAGCATGAAAGAGTAGTGCCGAAAAGCAAGCAAGTGAGGGTGCGAGTGCAATGAGCCAGCGAGTGTTCGAGCTAATGAACGAGCCAATGGACAGGATTAAGATGTACACACATATACAAATGGAAATGAATGAATCAATTAAGCGATTAGTAGTAAGACTAACAGAATGAGTATATGCGTAGGCAGTAAGCAATGCTCAACTATACATAGTCATACAAGTGAAACAATAACAAAGGTACAATAGTATAGATAGGTTGTTATTGTATGAATGACTCTGTCCGTTAAAACAAGTTAACAAAAACGG